AGTAATCGTTTTTGAGCTGAGTATTTATGATGTGCTTGATGTTAGATATTAGAAATTTAAGGAATGGTAGAATGGTGTTACTAAGCTTGAGAGAAGAGATTGTTATTCATAGTGGAGGATGCTGAATGACTATAAGTACAAAAGGATAAAGAAGATCTAGATAAGAGAAGAGGTACAAGGAAACTTTGATAATGATATCAACCACAGCAGCTAACCATGGTTACCTGATTCTTCCATTACAATTTTCAGCCACTATTCCTGCTACATCTGACTTCAGCCACCTACACCTTTGCTGATTAAATCTCAGACGCTGCCTTCTAACTAACTGACGCTAATATATGAATTATACTGCTGTAACATTTCATATATATATATATTACTGTACTGAAAGTGTGTTATGAAAAACAGTTTACAAGGAATGAGTAGTAGGCTTCTTCTTCCTCATTTACATTCTTTGTTCTTTCCTGTGTTTGTTCTGTATTTCCAATTCGAAAACGGCTGTGGCTGCATGTTTATTCCTTTTTTTTTGCTTTTGGATTCGGCTCCATCTCAGCTTAAATTCCCCATGTCTAATATTTAAAATATTGTACATATACAACTTGCTAATAATTACCCAACTTGACGTACCCAAATTCTCACTCTTTATTGCAAATGATTTTGATGACTATCTCGACGGAACCACAATTTGTCCCCCCAAAAATTATATCTCCGACACTGGACAGCTTTCACCTCACCCAACGCCCAATTTACTCATTGGCTTCTTGTCGATTAAAATTTGGCTGTACCCTCAACTCAGCAATCTCCTCGTTATTTCTTCCCTACATTCTCAACTTAGACACATGCCATGCCATTTGGGTTACCCTTGAGGGTCGGTTGCAGTCTACCAATAGATCACGAGTGATTCCAACTTAAAAATGAGCTTAACTCTCTCACAATGAAAAATCAATCCATGACTGATTACCTTTCTAATGTTAAATATATTGTTGATAACATTGCAGCAACAAGAGGATCCATTGATTTGCAATTTTCAAAAAAAAAAAAAAAGAGGATCCATTGACACCGAAGATATAATACTGTACATTTTATATTGTTTGTCATCAAACTATCAAGCCTTTAAGACATCTATATGCACCAAGCTTTCACCAATCAGTTTCAATGATCTTTACTCGTTACTTTGTAATGAAGAGGTGAATCTTGCTACCGAAGCTACTAAAGACCTCACACTTGCAGAATCAACTCCTTTGCCTAAGTCTCAGTTTGCACTTGCATCCGTTCGTGGAAGAGGTCGGGTTCACATGTCTCTTGTTAGTAGTTGTGGCAGATCATTTTCCGGATACTCTGCTTCCTCTCTACTTCTTCTGTTCCATTCTGGGGCTAAGGTTTAAACCTTCCGTTGATTACCAAATAATTGGCAAGCATGGTCATTCTGCTTGCGGTTGCTGGCACAAGATAGATCTCACCTACACTCCACCAACATCACCTCATAACCATGCTCTTCTTGCTAATGCTTCAGGCTCATGGTATCCAGACAATGGTGCATAACTCGTTTATCATTTGACCTTCAGTCCTTCCAGCAACCTTCAGCATATCAAGAATCCGATCAAGTCATAGTTGGAAATGGAAACTCTAGTCCAATTATGCACTCTAGCAAGGGTCTTCTTCCTGCTCCTTCATGTGTACTTTCATTAACTCCTTTACTTTATGTTCCAAAACTTTCTCGTAATCTTCTTTCTATTTCTAAACTTATCCATGATAATAATTGTTCGGTCTCTTTTGATGATTCTGATTACACCACCAAGGATCGGATGACTCATCACACGCTTCTTCGAGGTCCATGCATAATGGTCTCTATCCAGTGTCACACAACTCTTCCACATCTTTTGTACCTATAGCTGCTCTAGTTTCAATTTCAGCCATCTCCAACCTCTTACATTAGCGGCCGGGTCACCCAAACACCTTTGCCTTGGCTATTTTAGCAAAAACAAATTCCTAATTTATGTCTCTTCTTCTACTTCTTCTACTAGAAATTTTTGTGCTCTTGCAAAAAGTCACCGTTTAGAATTTAATGAATCAACTAGCATTTCTACATCTCCACTTCAACTTATTCATGCTGATGTTTGGAGTCCGTCTTTTATCCTATCTACTTATGATTTTCATTTTTATGTAGTCTTCATTGATTACTTTAATATACCTGTCAATGCACTCCCCATCAATGCACTCGCCAGCAAATTTATATTGCCGAACAAAAACATAATTTGCCGAACAAAAACATTGCCACCTCTTAGACACACTTTGAACTCATCTTATTGACACCAACTTACCTTTTAACTTCTGGGTTGAAGCTCTACTTACTATTGTCTATTTAATCAACATAATGCCCTTCTCACCACATCTCATTTTTCTCCTTACCAACTTCTAACCAACCTCCTTATTACGGCCATCTTCATGTTTTTGGCTGCAAATGTTACCCTGGCTCCATTTATATGCTCCACACAAATTTGCCTCTCGTTCAACTCCATGTATCTTCCTCGGTTACCCTCACTCCCAAAAAAGTTACAGGTGTTACAATCCTCACACAAGCTGTATCTTCATCTCCATACATGTTCATTTTGATGAAAACCGCACAATTCCCTCGTAACAATTCTCCCTAAAGTACCTCCACACAACCACCCCCTTCAGCTCTTATTACTCCACTACCACCTGCTACTATACCACACCCATCCATTTCCACTTCAACACCCTCACGCCTACAACTTCATATTTCCCCTCCATTCCCTCAGCTCCTCTTTCCTCCACCCAGATTCTTTCTCTTTCCTCCCATTCTTCCTCCACTCCCCCTCATCACTTATGGCAACTTCCAAGACATCCTATGTTAACTCATTTTCAGACAGGTCATATTAAACGTCGTCAAATTCTTGACCTTCACCATACTATCTCTTCTCCTCCTACCTGCTACAGCTCAGCCATAAAATATCCTGAATGGCATAGCGCATTATCTACAGAATTTTATGCCCTCCAATCTCAAGGTACTTGGACCTTAGTGCCTCAACATCCTTCTCAAAATGTCATTGGCCACAAATGGATCTTTATAATCAAATGTCACTCTGATGGCTTCAGTGTATGATACAAGGCCAGGTTAAGCAAGAGTATGGTATAAATTATTTGGAAACCTTCAGTCTAATAGCCAAATCACCTACAATTTGTTTATTCCTACCTGCTGCTCTTCATTTTGCCTAGCCCATCTTACAAATTGATATGACAAATGTCTTCCTTCATGGTTCTCTTTATGACACCTTTTATATACATCAACCCCAAGGCTTTCAAGATTCTCAACACCCCAATCATGTGTGCTTGTTAAAAAAAGCTCTTTATGCCCTTAAGCAAGCTCGGCATCAATGGTTTGCCACCCTTTCTTCATATCTACAGCAGCTAGGCCTTAATAGCAGCTCTGCATATGCATCCTTCTTGACTTATCACCATCATAATATTCAAATCTACATTATAATTTATGTTGATTATATTTTAATTACTGGCAACCATCCTCAAACGATCTGCACAGTTCTACACAACCGTCACCAACGGTTTAACATGCGCAACCTAGGTTCTCTTACTCAGTTTCTTGGAATTGACGCACATGACTTTGCTGTTGGATAACATCTCTCTCAGCACATGTACATTCAAGAACTCCTTCAGAAGGCTGATATCTCTAATTGCAAAGCACTTTCCAATTCTCTTCCATCCAAGTGGCCTTTGCTGAAACTCTTCAAATCCCATTTGCTAATCCTGCTCTCTTTGGACAATTAGCAGATTCCCTTCAATATCTTACAACCACAAGACTAGACATTGCTTTTGCTATAAATAAAATTTATCAATACATGCATATGCTATTAGACTGCCATTTGCAGCTCCTTAAACACGTTCTCCGCTATCTCCAAGGTACTTCTAATCACGGACTTCTCATACAAAATGGTGAACTCAAACTTTTTGCATTTGCCAATGCTGATTGGTTAGGCGACCTTCATGACCGCAAGTCTATTACTGGTTTTTGTATTTTTCTTGGTCCAACATTACTCTCCTGGTTTGTAAAAAAACAAATAATCATTGCATGGTCCTACGCCTGAGCTAAATATTGCTCTCTCGTTGTAGCAACCATTGAAATAGTTTGGCTTCACAACCTATGTCAAGATTTCTTACTTCCACTTGATCCTACGCCTTTTTTCTACGATAATATTTCTACAATATCTTTTGCTAATAATTTAATTTTTCACGTTTGGACCAAATACATTGACATAGATCTTCACTTTCTTCTGTTGACCTGTGAGCTAGAGCCAAAGGAAACAGACAAAATGAAATAAAAAAGGGCTCAAAATCATTACCTGTGGCAAAATCTCACCCAAATCGCTGCTCTGGCCGCTACAGTCCCGTCGCCCATTCCTCTGCTCTGCAAACAGCGTCGAACTGTCGCTTCGTCACGATCTCCCGCTCATCTCGATCGCGTCTTTAAAACGAGACGGAATCCCTCTCATTTGGCCGCTCTTCACACGCTAAAATCCCGCAGCTCTCCCGGCTCATTCTCCTCTCTCCGGAAGCCCCCGTCATTTCTCCTCTCTTCCCCGTCGCTGCCTCCTATTTCTCGCCGAGCCAGACACAGAAATAAAGAGAGAGAGAGATAGAGAGAGATAGCCTCCTTACCTTGTCTTCTTCCTCAAGCACCGAACCCCAGCTCCCGCCGACTTTGCTCCTCCGGCGTCCCTTCCTTGTCAGATTGAAGGCTCCGACCTTTCGATCGGAACCAGCGACGGGAGTCGCTCGCTGTGACGCTAACTTTCTCCCTTTCACGCGGCTTCTCCGGCACCTTCATTGGCGTTCGACTCCGCTCCTTTGACGACCTTAATTAAAATTAAGTATAATTAGTTATTTTAATTGTAATTAATTATTATAATTATAATTAATTATTTTCAAAATTAATTAGTTATAATTAATTAAAACTGATTAAGAAAATGCTCCGTGCCTCCACCTCCGTCGCCGACCCCGAAGGTATAATCTCTAAGACTCAGATTCTCGTTCTCGTCGTTTGCAGCGGACCGGTGAACCACCTATACGCGCTCTCGTAACACGGTAGGAGGAAACCCGGTGCGACGCCTACAACGAGACGGGTAATCACCTAAAACTCATATTCTCATTTCGGTGTTTGCTGCAGACCGGCGAACCACCTATACGCGCTCTCGTAGCACGGTAGGAGAGAGCCCGGTGCGACGCATACAACGAGGTGGGAATGTCCTATACACGCTCTTGTAGCGTGGTGGGGAGATCTACCTGTGCTCGCCTACGGATATTGTTGAAGACCTCATACACGCTCGAGTAGCGTGGTGGGATGAAAAAAATGTACGGCCCGGTGTCCCCCGACACCTACCATACATGCTCAAGTAGCGTGGTGGGATGGCCCAGTCTCCCAGATTTTCCCCTAAACGGTGGAGACGCTGGTAGGCTGCCGAAATTTCGGGTGAATGTATGACCGAACTCAGACCTGTTTTAACTCAAAGAGACAAATATTTGGACACATTTGAACAACCAAGGACTTGGAACTACGCTCAAAACTCAAATCAAATGAACTAAATGCACATCAAGTGGACTTTTGAATTTGCAAATGAAATTAAACATGAACTTAAACCAAAATTACAACAGACTCGGAGGTAGATTCAAATGTGGACTCATCTTGGGCTTGATTTGAGTCAAGCACGGTGGACAAGGATTTGAACTTGTGTTTGAACTTGAACAAGACATCGAACATCGAATGAATAGCATGAAATGTGATAAGAATTATAATTTTGCCAATCAATATCATTAGTCATGCAACCAAGGACCAATGTATAATAAATATGCTAACTTGATATATATGGGATGCTTATGATATATTGTCTAAAACACAAGGCAATAAATCATAATGAGTTATAGTGAACATGATTGAATTCAAAATTCAAATGATCAAAAGACTCAAATCAAAATTGATTTGAACTTGACTTGAATCAAAAGACCATGTGAAACTCAAGGGTGATAAATATTCAGTGTATATGAATGGATCTCAATCAAATTGAAGCTTTCAAACGATCACAAGCAACTATCAATGAACAAATTATCATGTAGATCATGAACTAGTCTTGAAGGGATGTTCAATGTGTGGTTTAATGTCCTTGCCAGTGGATCCACAAGTTCATTCAAAGAAGTTGGATAGTTTTCAACGAAAGAATCCCCCAAAGAATGATACGATCTGTCCACAATGATTATACCAACCCAGACGTTGATTTTAAGTGAAAATAATGATAATGTTGTTATTCATGTCATCAGCCTTCAAGAAATATAGTGGGCAAAATGATTTGCTATTTGTTGTTATACACGATAAATGCAGCATGTTTGCAAACATCGAGGGGGGAAATAACTTGATTGCAATGGTGTATTAGTGTGCTCATGGATAGAACACTAAGGCTCATACACAACTGATGTCACCTACGACAATGGTGATTAAAATCTACAAGTACGTCGGGTATAAGTACGAAGAAGAATACCTCCTGGCAGAATGAAAGAGGGATTTGAACAAATTAGAACTAAACTTCCTTGAGTTCCAAAACATCTTCTTAGTCTATACTTAAGAAGAAAACATCCCTGATATCAACAAACATCAGAATTAATAAGTCCACTACACACTGAAGATTTTAAAAAGGGTTCTTCTCAAACCAGTGGCTATTGACCTCAAAGTCAAAAAGAATTCCTCGGTGATTGAGAAAGGGGGAGTCAACATAAAAAATCTAACGCCACCGGATCTGCAATGTTCGTACAAGCAGACAGAAGGCGTATATTCCAAATAATACCCCTGCACGTGCACTGAAATTTATATACACATAGGTACACCAAAAGCGGTAAATACAATCTCAACCCGCATGGGCCCCGGCGAGCATGTTATTGGTACACACGTGACGTCTAGGGATGTTGCGCGGGTCGACAAGTGAATTCAAGTTTGAACCCGATCCTTCTATACGGATCAATAGGAGTCGACAGGGTTCGAACCTTCAAACAAATACACGATTATGGCGACTGATGTATTTGTTTTAATACACTCATATCAGGCCTTCAAGGTCTGTAATCAAGAGAATTCACTAAATAAGGGCACAAAGCCTATGAAACCCGATCCCCTATCGGCAAGTTGATAGGGTCGACAAGGTTTAATATATGGAAATGACCCCAAACACCCCGATGATGGCCGCGTTGATTGAAGATCTCAACCAGAGGGGTTAATTTCAGGCATTTCCAAATGACTCCCAAAAGTCCACACAAAATCCAAACTCCAAAATCCCAAAAATCTTAGATATTTAAAATTGAAATAAATCCATCAACACTTAAAGCAAAATCCATTCACCCTCCGCAACAGTTTGTCGAGGTGGATAAATTTAAAACTACTTCAGCTCACAAAAGAGCCAAATGCCTAGTCGAAAATATCACTAGGATCCATTCTCAAACAATCTCTTGCCAGTAAAGAACGTGGTACGTGTCTCTAATCGGCAGTTTCGCCGCCAAATGCCTGCAGGTAAACGTTATGACCGGGCCTCTGAACGAGTGGTTTTGCGTCAAATGGCACCACAGATAGCGGTTATGGCCAGAGCAATACGTTCCTTAGTGGCGTTAAATCTTGAGATATGAATCAATAGGATATGATGATAGGCACAAAGCCTCTGTTAGCTAAGGTGGATTCAAATTTGTCCCCTTAGACAAAACATTCACCCGGTCTACAAGGTCCTTGGACGAAGCAAACCATGCAGCCGACAAGGATCCTTCTGTCAGGTTTGGGTCGACTACCTCCTCTGACTAAGTAGACCAGGGACCATGATGGCCCGGGACGAGGAACCATGGGATCTTGATCGGGTCATCATCCATTCCCCCACCATCGCTTTAAGTGCAAATGGTGCATTTTGTTTTAAATTATCAACTTTCCAACAAACCTCAATTCAAATTCCAAATTCCAAATCCAAATATATGAACCTTCAATTCTCATACATCCCAAATTCAGATTTCCAAAATCTCAAACCCATTGCTGCTACTATATGCCAGATAACACGTACTCTAGTATCTGATTGACGACTAGCCTTAATCGAAAGGTCTCTCTCATGATTGAGAGGGGTAATTAACTATAGGGGCTTGCGCCTATAGGAAACCAGAACTCATATCATAAAGTCCTCACAAAATGAGGGCGAAATCTCTGGGTAGTGTCTTATCTACAACCCCATCTGCCTTCCAAAATTTACCCCGGAACTTATTTGTTAAAACTCCCTCGTCGAATGAAAAGAAAAGCAAAGCGGGGAGGCCGGGGTCGAATTTTCAGAGCCCACATCTTCGTGACTGTATCCGTTCCAAAACGGCGGTTATTCATCATGTCTCTACCAATGATCAAGTGTCTGACATTCTAACCAAAGCTTTGCCAACTCCACGCTTCAATCTTTTTCGAGACAACTGGTTACATGATGCTTCCATTACAGTTTTCAGCCACTACTGCCGCATCATACTTCAGCCGCCTACACCTATGCTGATCAAATCTCAGTCGCTGCCTTCTAACTAATTGAAGCTAATATAGGAATTATACTGCTGTAACTTTTCTTATATATATTTCTATTTTACTGTACTGAAAGTGTGTTATGAAAAACTCTTCAAAAGTAATGAGTAGTGGGCTTCTTCTTCCTCATTTACATTCTCTATGCTTTGTTGTACTCTAACGATTGAGATGATGAATACAAAATCAGAGGTGATTGCTCTGTTCTGAGAATGATTAGTGAACTTGTTATCTCTAATAACCTTATAAAACTCATAACATATAAACTATATAGGTTCACGTTTATGTCAAATGCTGAATCCACTCAGAAAGCCTTTTGGATTCATTTTTTGTCCTTCTTGAACTTGGGTTTCTCCTCACCCTTCTCCTTGCTTGGATGAGCCTTAAGTGTATGACTTCTTCTTCCTCTAAGCACCCCATTTGTTATGTAAATTGCAGATCATTCAGATGCAAGCTGCTGCCCATCGTTGCATCGCCATAGTGGACTTCATGGAGAAGACACTCAAACCATACCCAGCAACTGTCAATGATGAAGAAATGTATAAGAATGCAAAGAAGGTTGGGGAGGATTTGGTGGGGAAAGACAACGTTTATCTAAGTCCTCTAGCCATGGGTGCGGAGGACTTCAGCTTCTACACGCAGAGGATGCCGAGCACGGTCTTTTATGTTGGCACAAAGAATGAATCTATTGGAGCTTCGTACCATTTGCACTCCCCTTACTTTTTTCTAGACGAGCAGGCGCTTCCAATTGGAGCTGCTTTCCATGCTGCAGTTGCTTTGTCTTATTTGGATGGTCACTCGGACTTCTCTACTTGAGGTATAAATTCATGAAATCTACTTGTTTTTCTTATGTTTCATTTGTGATGATTGTGCTTTTTCAATTATGGTTCTCATGTGATTATGCATTGGTTAATGATCAGCTGCTAAGCTTCTAAATTGAGGTGCAGGTTAGCATATATTTTCAGAGAGTTAGTGAGGTTGAGATGTTTCTCATGTGATTAAGGTTTCGTTTGGAACAACTATTTTGTTATTTTCTAAAGCAACTTTTTAGTATAAAAATTTTTAGTTTTTAAAAACTTTTATACCAACAAATTACTTTAAGTAGTAAGAAAGCCTCCTCAAGGCTTCGTTTGGGACAACTTTCTTATTGCTTTTTAAAACAATTTTTTAGTACAAAATTATTAATTTTCGTACTAGAAAGTTGTTTTAAGGAGCAGTAATAAAACCGTCTTGAATGTCGAGCGGTACCGAGCATGTTCCTAGCAGTACCGAGCTTGTACCTAGCAATACCGAGCATATATTGAGTGGTACCTAGCGATAGCTAGCGGTACCGAGCATGTACCTAGCGATACCTAGTGGTACCGAGCATGTACATTAGCTTTCTTTTGGTAAGTTTCAAAAAACAACAATTAATATTTCAGGCGTCGATGCCATTTATCACTCACCGAGAGAGGAGATGAAAATATCTTCATTGCCAAAAAGAAATGAAAATGAGAATCTTCGATGATTGGGAATTAAGTGTGGACATTGATTTGGTGTTGTGGATAGGAAATAAGAAATTTAGTTTAAATCCCGCGAAATACAATAAATTATATTTTAAAAAATTCATAAAATATTTAAGATACGCATGTCGGACACGTTTTCGGCATGTCCGACAAGTGTCGGAGGAGTGTCGGACGAGTGTCGTGTCGGACACGGTGTCGGACACTGCTGATGTAGGCTGGGGGGGGTCAAATCAAATCCTAAAATTTGGTTTTGACTTCTCTAGCTCATTAATACTTTGAATTGTTTTTTAGTTCATTAAATGGGAGATTTATTGAACTACCTAGCCCATTAATCTAAAAAGGTATGGATTTATTTTGGAGTGGACTTGTCTCTTCCTTGCCCCCCTTTTCTTCTCCCGTGCTCTGTCCCTTGGGTTTCCGAGAATGGCTGTTGATTTCTCTTTGTTGGGTGAATTCCGTGCTCTGCCCCTTGGGTTTCCCTGGTTGGATGATGGTTTCCTGTGCTTTGTCTCTTGGGTTTCCGTGGTTGGCTGTTTGTTTTCTGTGCTGGGAAAAATTCCCGTGCCTTGCCCTTTGGTTCCCGCGGCTGCTGCTCAGTTTTCGCGGCTGCTGCTTGGTTCCTGTGTTTGTCCCTTGGTTTCCCATGGTTGGATGTTGGTTTCCTGTGCTGGGAGGTGTTCCCGTGCCTATGCCTCTTTGGTTTTTGCAACTGGCTTCTCAATTCTGTGCTGGGCTGCTCGGTTCTGCGGTTTTCTGCTTGGAACTGTAGGTTTCCTTCTCTGTTTTGCTCTGCTGTTTGGGAATTTTTATTGTTGCTTTTGGCCTTTCATATTCCTTAATTTAAGTGGTTTAATTAATATATTTTTATGGCTGTTTAGTTCCCTTCTTTTGCCTATATATAGAAGATGTTTTTAGATGTTTTAGGATGGTGATGATTATGATTTTTTGAGATAAAACCTGTGGGTTTTCTTTGGAATAGCTTGCGAGCTATGTTCTCTTCCTCTTTTCTTCTCTATAGCTTGCGAGCTATGTTTCGTCTTGGCTTCTAATCCCCTTCTTCTCTACGCAAGTTTACACTCCACTTGTATCCTTGTTCTCAAAGAAATGCAACTTTAGGGATCTTTGTTTATGTTTGTAAGCGTCAAGAATTGTAAGGTGTCATTTTATTTTTGAAAGTTTGTAAGTGTCTAAGATTTTAAGTCTTTATATGATATAACAAGTGTTTTTTTTTTAGTATTTTTTAGTCCTTATTTTATCTAGGATGAGTCTGTTTTTGTGATAAAAAATTTGGGGCCTTTCCCAAATTTATGATTGCATCAATTTGGTATCAGAGCAAGTTAGGAAGTCCTAGGTTTATGAGTCGGTTTGTCAAGTAAATCTTGGTGAGTCATAGCAATTGTTGTGTGTGAGTCTAGGTTTCTTTAGGTTGAGTCTTTCTTTCTTTGAGTCAAAGTTTCTTGTTTAGTCTTTTTAAAAAAAAAATGGAAAAAGATAAAAAGATTGATTCAATAAAAAATGAAAGCAAGTCAGACAATCCTGAACTCCCTCTTTCGATGGACAGATGGATTCTGTCAGTTGGAGATTCAACATATGTGATATTTCCATTTCCAATAATTTTGATCTTAATACATTGTAGTCAGGTGGAACATAACCTGCAAGATTGTTATTACATGCAAAAATGAATGCATTTTTGTAATGAGGATTTCTTGCAAGGTTGAAAGGAAGTTCAGATGAAAAAAAACATCCTTGCAATTTCACTATCCAATTCCTTTCACTGCTGCATGTTAAAAGCCTTCTTTAAAGCACTACTGGCAACTCTTTTTCTTTTCTTTTAATCACATCCTTCACTTCTATATGATAATGAATGATCAAATCTAACAGATGAGGAAGAAGTGTGGGACGAACCATGGGTAGATGGCAAAGGTATCTCTTTAGGAAGTGCCCTTTTGATCCTAGATTCAGCATAATCAACTTGTCTGTTCAATTCAATCAACTATGACATAGTAATCTTAGTACACATTTTAATTCTATGGCCAGAAATCTTAAGTAGATGTGCTTTCACCTTGAATAAGATCCTTTGTAGGGGCCACCATAATAATTGCATTTGAATGACACATTCTCTCCTCCTTCAAAAGTTTTTTCTAACCTTGTAACATGAATCCATAATGACTTATCAGTTTCTACATATAGCTCTTTTGAACCACCCCACCAGCACTAGAGCTCATTTTGCTTTTAAATTCACTGGTAAAGTAGAAGAAATAAAGGCTTAATAAATATTGCCAAACAAAATTAAAAAATAATTAAAGAACTATTGCATCATGCGTTATGACTATCTAACTAAAAAATAATTAAAAAATTGCAGCTATGCCGGGGGTCCAAGGGGGCGCTGCCCCTTGGCGGGGTTCGACCTACAAAAGCGCAGTAAAAGCGCAACAAAAGCGTAGTAAAAGCACAATGAAAACGTATTGAAAGCGCAGCAAAGACGTAATAAATAAATAATTTTATTGTAAGAGTAATTTAAATTCAAAACAAATAAAATACTTTAAAAAAATATGCTATTCTGATCATAAATCTACAGAATCATTGATAAATGAAGAAAAATGATGAATGGAGAAATCAACTTACAGGTTTGAAAAATAATCTGCGGTTTGGCGTCGGCTTCCCTCGGCTGCAAGCAGAAACTAAGGAGGATGGCTTGTTTCTTATGGCCGGAAGGGAAGACCAAGGATGCGATCTCCAGCTGACCGCTGCTCGCCTCAATCGCTCGAGAAGACCACGAAAATGAATAGGAATATGAGATTAAAGTGAAGATGAAGACTCAAGCATGAACCGGCTAATATGAAATAGCGGGATTAGGATTTTTTTATTTATTTAATTATACAATAGCCGGACACGACACGCGTGTCCGGTTCAATTTTTTTTTTAAATGGGACATGCTTATGACGTGTCCGACACGTTTCCTCGTCGTGTCGGACGCGTGTCCGTGTCCGACATTGCTTACCCTCTTAAAACAAAGTGTCGGTGCATCTGAGGTGGAAAGTGGTTCGTATTTTCTCAAGGATCTCAAGAAATGAAATAATTCTTTACTTACAACGATTATCATGATATTAGTACAATTGGACCTAAATATACATGGTGTAACAATAAAGAAGGCCTTGCTCGTATTTGGGAAATATTGGATAGAATTTGCTTAAATTCTAAATCTCTGAAGTATTATTCCTTATGCGGTCATTAAACATTTAACAAAAATTGATTTGGATCATTACCCTTTGATGTTGAATCTTCATAACTCATCTCGATTTAAGAGGAAAAATATTAGATTTGAGAATATTTGGTGCTCGTATGAAGCTTCCATTGGTATTGTTTCAAGAGCTTGGAGAAAGAATGATTGTGGTGGTGCTGCTGAAATTCTTCAAAAAATGATTAAAAGATCCTTAAGGAATTTATTCTTTTGGAGTAAGAATAAATTGAAGGAACTAAATGATCTTAAATCTGTGGGCTCCGAAAATTCGGCCCCGGACTCCCCGCTTTTCTTTTTATTCGGCGAGGGAGTTTTAACGAACTAAGTTCCGAGGTAAATTTTGGAAGGCAGATGGGTTTGTAGATAAGACACTACCCAGAGATTTCGCCCTCATTTTGCGAGGACTTTATGATCCGAGTTCTGGTTTCCTATAGGCGCAAGCCCCTATAGTTAATTACCCTTCCCGATCACGAGAAAGAACTTTCGATTAAGGCTAGTCGTAAATCAGACGCATAACATACGTGTTATCTGGCATATAGTAGCAGCAATACATATGGATTTTGAAATATTTGGAAGTTTGGATGTTTGGGTTGAAATGGTTTGATATTTAAAATTAGAAATTTCACCATC